GCCACTCTGTGTGTGTGTGCACTCCCCTTGATCCCTGGATATCCTCACCCAACTCCCCCCGGATTTTGGGGTTTAATCAAAGAGCCAGCCAAGTCAAGCACAGCACACAAAAAGGGAGAGAGAAAAACCCGGGCCAGCAGCGAATGAACGAATAAACCAAACTTTTGTTGCAACTTTTCGGTGCAGCCAAGCAAATCGAGGCGCGACCCCCGAAACCCGGCCAATGGAGCTAGGTGCCGGGAATTGCCGTTGGTACAGCAGGTCAGGGGACAATGAGGTGGCGCCCACATGCAGGCCACCCTTTTCACCGATACTTACGTAGTTTGAAGCTACGTAGTACGTAGGGACGGACCCTTACCGATTCGTATCGCTAATGATGATCAAGTAACGACCAAATGTCGACTTGCTCTCAAACATACTGAGAGAAAAAGGTGATAAAAACAAAATAGAGATACTTGAAATACTCAAAAATGAATGAATAATCTAAATAATAATCAGAAAATGAAATATGAAAAATAAATAAATATAGTGATGAACAAAACAATAAAATTAAACTAAGAGCAGCCGAAAATCCGCCTAAATCGCGCATAAATCCATGTATACCCTGAGTTCGTTAAAGTTCAGTTTGTCTTTCATAGAAATACAAATCCTACAAAAATTTGTGGTAATAAATAAAACCAATTTGTATTCAATCCACAGCCAGCTATAAATTCTTTTTCTCTCAGTGTATCCCTTCATAGACACAGACAAAACGGACACAAAATCGTTAGCCCACTTGGCAGGGCACCAGCAAAAATTTGTGCACTCTCGCCCTTTAACTATGTCACGGCTTCTTTCTCCAGCTCCGAGTCTCCAGGCTTTCCGGTCGCTTTCCACTTTTCCGACCTACGCTACGCCCCACAATCTTGCCCACCGTTTGTCGTTTGCCGAAGCCGCCAATGTCGTCTGGCGTAATGAGCAGTCTCTCAGTTCTCCGGCAAAGAGAAAGGATTGGGGTCTACACACACAAATGATATGTAAATACCAAACAATTTGCCATGAGCTAGCTGGCAGGCTGGGATGCCTGCTTTGAGGCCTTATTTGATTAGTGCTTGATCAGTGCGCCAAAAAGTAGGCAACGTTTGCTTGATTTTTTGGCAGCCAAACTGAAGGATTTCGAGGAGGAGGAAGGACGATTGTAACGAGTCAACTTAATTGAGGCTTAGCAGAGCCAAAAATGTAGTCATAACTGATACGTAATAGAGTTAGAGACAAGGGGGATCAAGTTGTATAACAAGTTAAATAAAAGTTAAAGAAATATTTAAAATATATGAAAGGAATTCTTATTCTTAATGGAGACTCAATACCCGCTCCATAAACCTTGTTTAATCCACTTCGCTGGTTGGCTGGTTCCCTTAGGAAAAATTTCACTCTTTTGAAAACATTTTCATTTCTAAACACAGGAACACCAAAATTATAATGCGTGGCCGTAATAAATTATATTTTTGACACACATACTAGACACGCATGTATGGATGAGAGCGTGTACGTGTGGCCAACACCTAAATGTAGGCAATAAAATTCCAACAAAATAACCAAATGCATAAATATGTTTTAAGTGCTACGTGAATAACGCCCAGAAATGCCTTAAATATGCTCGTAATTTATGCAAAGAAAAAAAAAAAAACACACACACACACCCATAGAAATGAATATTCAAATGTAAAAAGGACGAGGAAAACTGGCAACACTAGCCACTCCTCATCATGCCCTCTCATCTCTACTGGGAAAGGGCAATGGCAACCATAAAATATGCAGCACAAACAATTGTTTTTGGTAAATATACGGATCAAAATGCAAACCAAAAATCGGTTTGCGAAAATCATAGCAAATATGAGTATAGTATAGTAATATCTCATGCCAGCAATCAAACATTGAGTATGTAAATAAACGTTGATACTTAAATTGGGTGGGATCAAAGGGTTTCATTACAATATTCATAGTTGTGTGAGCTTTAAATGCATGCGGATCAGCTTGTTTTTTTTATTTGTGTTGGTGGCATCAAAATATATAAATAGTAAATATTTAATATAGGTTTATATAGACAACATACCTGATCGCTCTGTGCTGTTTCAGTCACCGAAACATCATTACCAGACATTGTATCTGATTTGAATTACACGCTTTTCCGCTTCTAACCTTGCATTAAGCTCAACTCTTCAAGAGCTGCATTAAAGAGAAATAATAAAATGTTTGTTTGATTTGTATAGATTTGATTTATATGGTTGTTCCATTCAATTTCCAGTTCGGCAATTCTCTTTATTCCGTTTTTTCTATTTTTTATTTGCATTCCGCGTTTCTTCGGCATTTTTCCGTATTTATTCCGACATTTTAGCAATGATTTATGGCACACACATTTTATTTGCACTTCACACACTTTTCAAAAATGTTCTCATCTGTTTCAAAACGTTTTTATTTGCATTCTAATTGATGCGTGGGTTTATTGAAAAAAAACATTGTTCATACAGGCAACTTGTCTGTCCTGATTCAAATGTTTTTGTGGCTTATTTTTGCTGCAAAACTTTAGCCAAGCTATTTTTAATTAAGTTTTACGAGTTAAAAAGAGGGATCTGCCTCGTTGATTACATTTTAATAATGTTTTTCCATTCTTTTGATGCCCCACATGGTATCCCGTGTAATTTATCCTAAGAAAATAACTGCTGCCTGTCACTTAATGCAAATTAAACAATTTAAATGAGCAAACAAGCAAACCAAGAAAATCCGAAATTCAGCAAGGAAGCAAGAAAGAATGGAAGACCTAAGAACAAGTTTTTGTGGCCGAGACACACACACACAATCATGCAATCACATACAGAGGCACTGAGTGCGCATTGCACATAACTCGTAACTCATACGCCCCGTTGTACAACGAGAATGGCCGCGTTTATAAAACGTTTGTTTGCCAGTTTGTTTGTTTGTTTGTTTGTTTGTCTGACGGTTTGGTTTGCCTGGCTGGCTGGCTGCCTGGCTGCGGTTTTCAATTGTCAGTGCCAAAGCGAGTCCAAGAGCCGAAAAGGGGGGCGGCAAAAAGTACAAAAAGTAAAAAGTAAAATAAATAAGAAATACCAAATAAATTGAATTGCGTAGCCGACTATAAAGAGACAGCCAACGTAGGTGAGTGGAGCAAAGCCAACTGGAACAGGAGATAAAAGACCAGCCTCTGCGTTGTCCTTTCCCCAAAGGGGAATGGAGTCAAAACAAGACAGAAAAATCAACAAAAACACAGGACAACAAATGTGATAAATGCGAGGGGCCGCCCTTTGTGGTAATGTGCATAAAATATATTTACTAAATTGTCAAATGGAAAAGAAAAAGAGAACTTTTAAAGCTGGCAAAAGAGGTCAGCATATAAGATGCGCTTGTATTTCGATTATCTGGTTTCAATTCGGATTCGGAGCAGATGTCGAAAGCCCTGTCATCGAATCCTGGCTTCCCTTGCCTTAACGGCTTTGGCCTGATATTCTTGACAAATCTGCACTGCCATTGGATATTGCTTTGCGACTCTAGATAAAGTGAGTTTCGATTTCCTAAAATGTACAAAAATATGTACCATGGTTTGTTTCTTCAACAGAAATACTGGCATTGAGGGGATTTGAAGGCATAAAATAGTAAAAGAAAAACATTTAAAAGAGTTTAATACATTCATAACAATTTTAGCCTTAAATTGAGTTACTTTTAGGGTAAGTCACTATGTAATAGTACATGAAATGGAGTTACTTTAATAGTAAGTAGCTATTATATATAGTTTTACAGTAGGACAAACCATATTTTAAAAAAGCTTAATAACCTATTAATAATTTAATTTATTTAATAATTGAATAAACTTAAAGAAAACAATCATTATTCTTATATCCCTAGCTTAATTCAAAGAAATAACTAGATTAAAAATTTCTAAAGAAGTAGTTCAACTTTGAAGTTATTCAATTTCATGAAGCAGCAAAAAATTTAAGATGTGCTTTCATTTCAATTATCTAAATTCGCCGATGCTGAACCCGTGTCTTCAATTGCTTTAAAAGCTTTTTTGTTTTGCCGAGATCCTTGACAAATCTCATTCCTCAGCAGTTTAATTCCTCTCTTTTGACAAAAAAACGCTTGTCTCTGGCCTTTTCAGCAAATAAATTTCCCTGACTTTAAGCCCTAACGACACACTATCCATTAAGTAACTTTACAACTGACCAATCCAAAGTCTTATTTGAGTTTCTTAACTTGCGGTTGAGCCTGGAATTTGATGTCCTTTAGCGCCGTTGGCGGTCACATCTGTCCCTGCTGCCGAAATGCATTAAATATTAATGAGTTTAAAAGCGGCAAGTAATTTGTTGTCCCCGAATGAGGGATTACAGCATTTTGCAGGATAAGAGCCACAACCAACAAATCGCCGGGTTATTGATATAGAAGCCAGGATTAGTTGGGGATAAGGAAAGAGAAACCCTCCGACTTTTCTGCTAATCCAACAGATGCAGGACTGTTTGATTTTTCATTTGTGCATTTGTCAAGTGCGAGAACAAGGAATTGCAAGTGGCAACCGACAGGCGGCGATGGACAAACAAACATTGGGGGAAAGGCGGAATGAATGATACTCGCATCGCATCGCAGGGAAAAGCGCAGAAAACCAACAGAAGTTTCATAAATTTTACACAATCCACTTAACTTGAAAGGCCAGGCAGTCGTCAGTCACAGGAAGAGAAAATCCTAGAAAGGGTAACGAGAATCCCCCACTTAGTCTTTCAATTCATTTGAATTTCCTTTTTCCGCCAGAAGCAGATTGTTAAAACTAGAAGTTAATTAAGTGAAGACCGAGAATATGTGGTATTTGATAAGTAATTAAATTAAAATAAAACTAGGGAAGACACTAAGCCACAAATACAAGTTCTTTTTATAGTTCAAGCTAAAAAGTATCACTAACTTTCTGACAATTCATATCAAACTGTCCAGGAAAAAAGGTTAGTAGGCAAAACTTTCAACATTTTCATAAACATTTCCTCACAAATCCCAAGTTAACTTCCTAGAAAAGGTGAAAAAAGCAAGCTCACAATGTCGGACAACGAAACGGATTCCTATATGGAGGAGGAGGAGGAAGCAGAGACGGGCTCGGCCAGAACCAGTATTCCCGTTGTGGGGCCGGTAAGTCCCAATCCGAATTTCCAAATGGGCGATTATGCGCCGCTGTTTTCCTCCTCGATCAGCTCACTGGACGGTGGCAGCCAGGAATCTTATTCCGATTCGGAACTCGAATTACAACAGGCCCTCGCTGCCGAGTTAGCAGCCGCTGAAGTCCCTCAATCTCTGGCGGATTGGCGCTCGACCCTGAGAACAGTGCCGGCAACTACTAATTTGACCACGCCCCAGGCACGTCGCATCCTTCCGATGAGTCGCTCCCCCTCGCCATCCTCCACCTACTCGGCTTCGCCATCGACATCCATCTCACAGTTGATTGACCAGAGATCTGCCAGACTTAGGCGCCTGGATATGCTGAATAGCATGATCCAGGATCTGCAGGATAGCCTGCCATCAATCAGCGAGCGTCGCCATCGTCGCAATCGTCGACGCAGAAGTGTTCGCTTCGAGGAGCATGACCATGAGACGGAGCAAGTGCCACCGAATGCCTACGCCGAGGTTATGCGTCGCGGCAACAGCATCAGCGATTGCAGCCAATGCAGCAGCGCCGAGGAGGATGGCATCGCTACTCCCATAATTCCCAGCCATCTGTTGGAGTGGTCATATCCAGGGCCTACTAATTAATTTAAATATTCATTAAATTTCCATAGTTTTTGATTTTTAAAATTTATATATACTATAGAGTATTTTTTTTTTGACATGGTAATGGAAAAGGAGTCTTTGTTTTTATGAAATTAAAAGAGAAATGGAAATACATAATAGAAAATATTTGCTTACAATGTTAAATGCATTTTTGTAAATATTATACTAAATTCTCCTCGCCTTGATTTAATCTTCTCAATTGCCATAAAAGTTCAACAGAGATCGTAGGTCTCATAAAAATGGTTAACAACTCCCAGGAACTCTCTTGCCCCGGCAACTTGTTGAAAACTCTTTAAAGTCCTTTTCATCTGGGATATGGGGCGGGCTTTTCCTTCTTTTCATCTTTGTTTTCCCTAGATTTCCCAGCAGCAACAGCAGCAGCCGCTGCCACTTCATACGGGCAAAGTGTTTATATGCAGCTGAGTGAGGGAGGTGGCGGCGATGGCGGCGGCAAGTTGAAAATAATAATGAATTTGCGGCATGCCACACAAACACTTGCTGCGGCCGCAACATGCGCCAGATTTTAGCCCCGGATATCAGCAGTAGCTGCACATGCATCAGCGCTCCACAGCCGGGAGTCCAATCCCACACGGAGAAATAAATCTGTGAATTACATTTGAGACTGCCCAAGTACTATATATCCTCTTACACCTGATCGTTCCTGGAGAGCTTAGGAAAGTAATGCCCTTAAGGGTTTGCGAAATCACCTGTTGGGGATTACACAAACCAAACTTGGGCAATGCTGTATGAAAAAAGGAAACAGATTTCTTAGCTTCATGACTTTAAAGGTGGCTTACAAAGGAGGATTCAAGGTTAATAATTAAAAGAGAACTTTGAAATTTTTATAGATTTTCGAATTGTTCTAGGTTCTTTGTTTTCCCTTCAGTGTAATCTCTTTTCCTCCTCACTCGCTTATTCCTTAACCCACTGTGCGGCATGTGTGGCAGCTAATATGTTGGCTTGGCAGTGTCGCCTCTTGGAGCCGTTGAAAAATGCACTGACATGTGCCACAGCTGCTGCTTACCCCCTGGAACCCCCTTTATTTTCCACGCCCCTGTAAAGCATCTCGGCTCTCCCACCCCCTTGAAACAAAAACAAATGCCCAGGATGTGGGCGGCTGCGTGTGCTCCCTCTCCCTTCAAGAGGGGGCGTGTTGATGCGCTGAACAATAGCTATAAAAAGGATTAACTTGCATAACAAAGGAGATGGGGTGCCGGATTGGGGGCGGGTGCGGGTGTGCAGCTTGCAGCTTGGACCAGGCCAGAGCTTGGCATATAAATTTCAACTCGGCATTGGTCGAGTTCCAAATTTATAGCTCACACCCTTATGCCTTGCCCACCAAGATTCCAGCATATGGTTTCGGAATTGCTTTCCATTGTTTATCTGAGGTTTTGCCTCTCAACTTTTGCTATTTAAACGTTAAGGTTTTTTTTATGGCAAATTGGGAAGAGATATAGCTTTTAATAGATAATTTGTAAGCAAATAATATACGCTTTTTTATGGATATGAATTATGTTGCTTATGGTTATTGCTTATTGTTATTTATTTATATAGTTATTAAGTTTGTTAACTCAATTTAATTTATAGTTTTAATCTAGTTTGATTTCGGATGTGGCTAGCAACCTTCTTATAATTTTTTAGTTTATTAATTACGTTTTAAAAGCATTAATCAATATATATATCTTACTTAAAATCGTTATACCAAATAAATATGCAGAAATGTTAAGCAAATCTTATTCTTATCAGCTTTAAAAATTCCCATAAATAACATATTCATATTCCAATACCAGCTCAAGTGTCCTTTATTTGCAATATTTACTTGAAATAACCATAAGAAGAGAAAATGGGAATTCAACATTATTGGTTTTTACTTGTTATGCTGTCAAATAAAATTTTCTATTGTCAGATGTTTAACAGTTTGTGTCCTAGTCTTCAAGGGAACGTCCCTCTACTTAAACCCCCGTTAAAGGGGGGTTAACCTTTTCCAATAGCCCGCTGTCCATCCTTGTGGCGCCTGGAAAAGGACCTGAGAGCGAGCGCGCTTTTCAGTCAACTGCAACTGCTGCAATTTCTCATTTTAATAAAAATGCAAATGTCTCCGGCTGAGGAAAGTCAAGCTTGCCATCGCTAGAGCTGTCTCTTTCTGTTATCGCTTTAGCCGTCTCTTTTCCGCTCCTTTTGATACCCTGGCTTTCCTTTTGCCTCATATTAAACGCCAGCAAACTTTTCGATTTTACGGTATTACGAAAACAAAAGAAAAAGAAAGCAACTGCAAGGCAACTACCACTCTGCTGGCTGCAGGCAAGGCAAAGAACTTGGAAAATATAAAAAGAAAAGAGGCGAAAAATCGGCAAAAGACAAATAAGTTTTCAATAAGGTCCTTAAGAATGTTAAAAGGAACGAAAAATAGAGGATTGCACTTCCAGCCTGAAGGTTGAGTAAAACAAAGTGTCAGTTTACAGCTGTCATTCCCCGAGGGACATAAGCCTCCTCGCTCACTCGCGCTCACACTCTTTCTGTCTCACTCTTTCCGGTCCTGTTGCTGATTTGCACTTACAGTCGAGGCCAGCAGATGGCGCTGCATTGCAGAGCAGATAATTTGGGGGATTTTGGAAAGAATTTTGAAATTTATTGGGAGAAATTAAAGTAATTAAATACGATTAGTATTTAAAAATGAGAATATTTGAATGTGAAATTTTAATAAACAATTTTTTATAGCTTACTCGTTGTATTTAAAATGCTTTTATTAAATTTTGTACCCACCGGAAGTAGGGGTATTAGCGATTATAATTTAAAACACAGAATATCTGAATGCGAAATTTTAATTAATAATATTTTATGGCATGCTTAAAAAGTATATTTTGAATTAAAATCTGTGTTATTTAAGGATTACCCACAGGAAGCAGGGGAATTAGCAAACATCGTTATTTTTGGGTACTTCTCTTAATTAATTTTAAATTACAAATAATATATAGTTGTATCCGATTTACAGCCAACATGCAGCCCTGTTTAATGAGGCTTTTAATTTAATTACATTATTTCTATGTGCCCTTTAAAAATAGTTGCCTGGCATCACTGCAGAAATAGCGACCCACACACTGGCATCGAGCTGTGCGGGTCGGGCTTAATTAATCTAATTGAAATAATGCCAGCGACAGGCGAGAGTCACACATATGGCCGACCGGCTTACGGCCCTAACAATGGCTTAGGACAATGCCAGATCCGCTTGGAGGAGATCCCAGATTGCAACGGGACAACGGGGGGACAAATGCTGGTGAAGCACAAAAGGTCCTTTGTCTTCGGGGTGCTAAGATGCGGGGAGAACTTGAAGTGCACAGCCAAGCTGGGAATCAACTTAATTGGGAATCTCGTTAATGGACGCCACTTTAAGTCAAGGTTTAAGGTCAATGTCACAAGCCAAGTCATTAGTATTTAATTAAAAATCACACATTGATATTGAAATTTGAATTTACTGCGAGGACTTGAGTATTAGTTTGAGCTGCCTCGGTTGGCCGCCGGTGCCGACACCGACGCCGTACCCGTGGCGGACGATGGTTTTCCAGGCTTATTGTCCTCCACCTTGCCCACATACTTCTCCACAACACTGACGATCTTCTCCGGATTGCTGCCCACGAACTGTATGAGCGTGACCCCATTCTTAATGATCACAAACGTGGGCATGCCTGTGACATCATATTGAAGCGCCAGTTCCTCGTTTTCGTCCACATCGATCTTGAGGATAATCAAGCGGGTTGAGTATTCGTTGGCAAGTTGCTCCAGTCGAGGACCGATCATCGCACATGGACCACACCAGGTGGCAAAGAATTCCACAAGGACGTGCTTGCTGCCAGCATCCTCCAGAATTTTGGTAAACACACTTTTCGAGTCGATAACTATAACCTTTTTCTGAGTCGCAGCCATCGCCTCCGAGTACCCAGCTAAAGTTTAAAAGAATTTCCAACAATTTGTATCGCAACGAATAATTTTGAAGTTTTTTTTTTTAAAGGGGCATTAAAGTGACAATAGGTTCTTAGCTAGTTGCGAATCAAAGGGCATGTGCCCTTTTATTCTGCGGTAATGGAGGTGTCTTTGTTTCTGGCTCTGTGTTGTTCGTGGGCGTTTACACATGTATCTTACTTTTTGTCAGCCTTTTTTTGTGTCTTGGTTTTTATTTCTTAGGCCAAGCTTTGGTTGCACTTTTCAGCAAAGTGGTTTGTATTAAGATACCCTAAAATATGGTGTGCCAGGATAGGTAGTAAATAAGAGACATCTGAAGGATAATTTGTAAGAGTTATGGGTTATAAGAGAGAGGTCTTAGAAACTTAAAGGATGTATTTGTTTTTATTATTTTTAGTTTTATTATTATTCTTCCTCTATATATTTGGAATACGATGAGTTGTTTTATATTTTTGACAATATTTTTAAGGAAGTTAAAAAGAAAGGATTTCTAGTTTTATTTTTATATCATTTTAAGCACCAAACCCCATTGTCAATGAAGCTAAAACACCGATTAAAAAGGTAATAAAATAAAACCCAAATAAAATCTCAAAATCCAAGGGTATCTAAGCTTTCGATCATCCTTTCCTTTCCCATTTTTCATAGTGTTGCCTGCTTGTTTGTCTTTTCTTGCATTTGTCACAAATTAAGACAAATGCATCGCAGTATCTTGAGTGTGTTTAAGCTTGCTGCCACGCCCACCTAGCGCCTCGCCCACCATTTTGTGTGGCGTGTGTTTGCCTGCCACAATGCGGGCGTCGGTTATCTCTTGAGTGTGTTTACCTAAGCCTTTTTTGCTTTACTTTTGCTTTGGTTCTTGTCTTTTTGCCCCTTCACCTCTCTGTGTTCTGTGTGGGATTTTAGTTCACGTGGCTGTTTTGCGGTCTAAGCTAGCTTCAAGTGTATCTCTCGGTTGATTCTAAAATTCTGTCAACTGGGCTTGTTTAAGCTTTTGCCACTTGACATTGAGATAGTCATTGATAATCCAAGGAAAAGTACTGGAATTTGTAGGGGTGAATTTTAGATAAATGTTTTGGGTTAAGTAAGATTTATCTAGTTATAATATAAAGCTTGATTTTTGGTTTTTATTTTATATTTAAAACTATATTTTTCATTCTGTTCCTTTGCTGCTCTTTTCACCTTATCTACGTGCTTAGCTTGCATAACCTAATGAGCGCCGCTTTGCTTAGCGGCAATGGCCGCGAAACGAAATGGAATGGAACGGAAATGACTGCCACATGTACACATACATATACAAGCTGCAGTGTGCTGTTGCGCAATCAGTTCAGCATCCGGTCGTCGCGAAGGATTTTCGTTTGCAGCGACAGCAGCGACAGGCTGACCCCGTAACGCATGCTAAAGGTAAGGTAATGGAAATAGGCGGGCGGCGGTCTGGGAATTTATATATATATTGTATATAGTAACCTCTAGCATCTAGCGAAAATATTTTTTGGACCGGCATTCGGTTATCCGTGGTTTTGATGGAGTGCTGAGGCGAGTGGAATAAGTCACGTAGCTGGCAAGACAAATTGCTTCAAGTGCAAGTGGAACACTCTCACTTGGCTTTCCTCGGGCCAGTCAGTTATGCGGTTAGACAGTTATTTTTATTGCGCATACGCCATGTGGATGGCATGCGAAATAAATGTATATATACATACATGTATGTATATGTGTGCATATATTGCGGTCAACTACAAAATGGGGTCGAAATGGGGGCTAAGATTATTGTCACTCCTGTCACAGAAATCAAATTTCTAGACACTGTCATATCCATTTCCACAAGATCAGGCGTCCGTTCGTGTTGGATTTCCGCCTGGATTTAGTGCAAACAATTTTGATGTTGATGGTTAGTAGTTGGCTTGCGTCCTAGTGGCCATAAAACCGCCAGAAAATCCATGAAATTTGTCCGTCATAGTGTTAAGTTTTTAGATAAAGCCGCCGCACAGCTAACCCTGCAGTACCACATTTCATCAATAGGCCTTTTCATCAACAATTCATCAACGCGCCGACTGCGACGTCGACAGAATCGACGCTCTGCCGACTGCTACTTGAACCCGAACTCCCTTCGGAGACCCGAACTCCCTTCGAGTCCGATTTGTCGGTGCATGCAAAAAAAACAAAAACAATTTGCATGGGCTTCGTTTTTTGAAGTCCGAAACAAAGTAGAAGACGCAATTAAAATAGATTCTCGAAGGTTCGACTCCATATTTTCGGAGCAGCGGTTTTCGGTTTCGTCTTGCTTCTTCTTATTCCCTTTGCATTACAAGTTGAAGTGTTCTCCACTGCAGAAGTGTCGTGTGTTTAAAATATTAAGAAATCAAATAATTCGATAATTACGTTCCGGGCCATATTGGAATATAAAAAAAGGTGAGTAAAAAGATTGTTCTTAATTAAATAGAAGCCTATAAATGTACATATGTACATATATTATTTTATTTATTATATGTATGTATATAATATATTAATATATTATATTTCTATATGTATGTATGTATTTTCTTTTCAGACTGCAGTAATGGCCAATATATTGAAACGAGGCTCTTTTGGGTAATTTTTATTTAATTAAATTATATTTTCCCTTGATTAATTATAATTTTTTTCTGTAGATGCAATTTCTCAAGTGACTAAAACTGAGCCTCCAGAGAAGATACTGCGCAATAAATTTGGTCTTCATGAATAGAAAGCGGAAGACCAAGAATCAAAAAGACTTTAAGGCCTTTTAATATATGGAATTAGTAAGAATAAATAATATTAATAAAAATTTAAGTTTTATTTATATATATGAAAAAAAAATCATCAACAATTCATCGATGAATTGATGATGAAATGTTGATTAAAGGCTGATGAAATGTTGATGAATTGTTGATGATTTATCGATGAATTGTTGATGAATCATCAACAATTCATCAACATTTCTTCAGCCTTTCATCAGTAATTCATCAACAATTCATCGATGAAATGATGATTAATTGTTGATGAATTGTTGTTGATGAATGCCTATGACATGCCTATGTTAAATTCATCAGTAATTTGTATGGCCATTCATCGATGAATCATCAACAACACCCCTTCGGCTATTGATGAAACGTTGATGAATTGTTGATGAATGGTACTGCAGGGAAAGTATGCTATTTGGCAGATGACTTTCTGCAGTTTGGCTTTTTGGTCTTTCAGGTCAGCAGCGGTTTTTGTCTGAGTTCCAGGCCACATAATTGGCTTTTGTTTTGTGGAAAAACAAGAGCAACAGCAGCAGGAGCTTCGGTGTTTTGGAACACGTTTAAGCATGTCAATGCCAGATGCTGGCTGACAAAATGATGAACAATCCAAAACACAAAACACCACAGAGCACACCAAAGACAGAAGACGCAGGACGCAGGAGGAGTTGAAATTCCAACACCAAAACGGCAATTTCAGTTAACAAGTTTATGAGCTCCGTTTGGGGCGACAATGAAAGTCTGCATTTGGATTTTAGAGTGCGTTGTACAATACATTGGGCCAAAGGCCCCCACTTCCTGTTGTGCCGCTCATTTCCGTTTTATGTCTTGAGGCACTGAGCACAAAAACAGCTTAGAATCTGAATTTAGAAGAAATTGCAAACAAGGAAAAGTAATTTATAGATTTTTTAGTGGCTTTAAAAATATTTATTTCGTATTTTCCCTCTTAAATTGTAAATAATTTTCAAACCCCCTTTTTTCAATCTTTATAAATTAAATATAAATACTTCCTGGCGCTTCTGAAATCTCTTTTGTTCTCGAATTAAGAACAAATTTCTTACTCTGTTTGCCATTGCACATTCATTTGGCTGCCAGAACGCACACAATATGCTGCCATTTCAGCCTGCCACGCTCGCCTTTTGTCAACGGCAACGAAAATCTCTCCGAAAAACACAAGCAAATTTTATTTGCTGCCAAAAATTTTGATGCTCGAACCGAAAGCAAGAGATTTTCCCCATTTCCCAGGCGTTCGTTCAGCTCCAGCGAGCTCTTGTGTTTCCCCCGCCTTACCAGCTTCTGTTCGCAGTGTTTCTGATGCTGATGCTGGTCTTGGTTCTGGTATATTCCTGGGGCTCACCCCTAACCACATGACAGTTGGCATTTGGCGGTGCTGAGCCTTGTAATGAGCTTGGGCGTGTGGGAAGGCGGTCCGTAGGAGGACAAACAGAAGGCGTTGGCGCATAAACAGGACAACCAAACACACGCCCAGCACCACAGTTTTTACAAGCTGCTAATGTGGGGGCTCTCCGTGTGAATGGGATTTGCATTCGCCTGCTGCTGAATTTGGCAGGCGGCAGAAGTAGTCCTTTTATGTCCTGGCTTTGCCGGAGAATCAGCAAATTGGAGGGCCTGCACCTTATTGGAATTGCTTCATTCTGTCGTTGACTTTACGTTGTACTTAGCGAGCTAACAAAGAAGGGTGTGTACTGTACTTGGGGTTCCCCTTTAATCCTGATTTATTTGAGTTTAATTTTAGCTAATTGAGCTGCTGGTCCTTTGGGTATTATTAATATATAATATATATTTTTGTATTTGAATATAACCTTGTGGTGTGTCTGCTATCTTAAAGGCTTCTTATTTTTAATATTTTCTTACTTAAAAATATAGTAAAGAGTGGATAAATGCATTTTATAAATCTCTTTCTATTTAATTTATATTCTTTCTTTATCCAATATATATCCTGTCTTCTGCAGGAGTTTTCTATAATATTTATAATATTTTTTTCTGAATTTCTTAACCCTCTCCCACAGATATTGAATTGAATTTCAATTATTAGCCATCGAAATTGACTTCACAGATGACTGTACGTGACGCAGATCGCTCTGCTCTTCTGAGACCAGAGTTACCCCCATAATTAATCACTTTAAAATGCAAATATTTTGCCAATACTTAGCCGACAGCTTTGCAAAACGCCTCAATAAACTAAATGCCACAACCAGGCAACTTGGGTCTCCCCCAAGCAGCTTTCCTGCCGGCTCTTACTCCCTCTCAACCCTCTCAACCCCTTAACTTGGCTAAAGTTTCAATCAATCAAATGCCACGATAGAAATCATC